AAAGCACCAGGCAGCTGCTTGTTGTCCCTGGTTGATATCAAATGGGGCTTTTCTTGCTGTTGGGGAGTGAGAAGTTGGGCCGCCCTGGTGACTCACACTCCATGCCTGCAGCCCCTTCCTGGAAGCTGGGAAGGGGGTGCAGAGAGGGCTGGGGCAACAGCTTCAGTTCTGCAGCTGAACAGATGAGAGGGTGGGCTTGGGTGTTAGAGAAGCCAGGGTTCAGATGCCATCTTTAGCACCTAGGACTGCATTCCACATAGGGATAAACCCACAGCACCGGATTGCAATGAGGATTAAAAGAGCGAACTTGTATAGAAAGCTCAGCGGGGTGCCCTCGCCATCATACGCTTTCAGTATGGCCTGAGCGTGGTAATGACTGTTTTCACTAATGCGCATCACAGACACTAAAATCCCTTGTTATTAAAGAAAAAAGCTTCTGGAATTGCTGACATTTTAATGTAAAGTGGAGAAGAAGTTTACAGACTGATTCCAATTATGCACACAGCTCTTCTTACACGTGTTTCTGGGTAAGATGGAATGTGAGTCTCCATATCTCGTCTGCCTCATGCCCCCGCGATGGAGAGATTTGGTATTAGCACTCGGTACCAGGCTGGTGTCATTCATACACCAGCTGCATGCCCACTGCCTGGTGATGCTGCACTGGCTTGCAGCGGAGCACACGGGACGCTGCCCTCAGAGTTCTTCAGCTAAGTAGGGAGGAGCAGCCTTCGAAACTGAAAGCAGCTGTGAAAAGACCAATCTGCAGTAGCCAAAAATGATTAAGTGTGTTGAATAATGTGATATTAAGATATATTAAATAAAATAGTCAAACGTTATCTACTGAATGCAGGCAGACTAGTAGGTATTAATTCACAAATAACTCGAATTCCAAAAAGAAGTTATTGTACAGGCTGCCTCCTAAAGATCCAGCGCAGCTGAGCTGGCATAACCAGTTGACAATGTAATGCTCAATTGTCCAGTGTTTTCTTCTCAAAACAAAAGGACATCAAGATTAGAAATATGGCTATTTCGGGTATGTAGCTGGATGTGCGAATCGGAGTGGAGGGATGCAGTTGTGAGGAGCATGTACAGGCAGGAAGAAGATCTCGGCAACAGTGTGGAGGGCGTGAAGGTTTCTAAACAGGCACAGAAAGAGCAGTCCTTAAAGTGGGCCAAGACAGTGCGGCCAGAAGGGGCCGGAGCAGAGCAGAGTGGAGTGTGTCTGGGAGAGATCAGGCAGGGAGGTTGCATGGGGAGAGGAGGCGGGCCGCACCGAATGCTAACTGAGATTGGGACGAGAATGGGAAAGTACTTGATTATCTTCAGATGTTACTGGTGACCCTGGCAAGAGCGATTTCACTTTCAAATTCTTATTCAAGAGATACTATCTATGTGCTACAAGTTTTGCAGAGCCCAGGCTAAAGCGTTTGCAGCTTCTCGTGTTGCTTTCCAAGCTGGTGTAAGATCAGTTCCAGTCGGGTACTGAACAGCATAATGTGCGCAAGCCCAGCCATTCACGTGGACACTGACCGCTGCCAGCCTCTGAGTGGGCACCATGCACTGGGTGCTGTTATTGGGAATGTGATTTATTTAATTTCCACATCAGTAATCATTAAAAAATCAACAAATTGAAAGTACAGAGCCAGCCACACTCAGTGGACTTAAGTGCCTGCTTAGGCCTGCCCCACCCCCGGGGCGTGCTGAGAGATTGAGACTGGGTGTGGTGGCATGTGCCCATAATCCCAGCACTTGGGAGGCTGAAAGCTGGAGGATCACTACGAGTCCGATCTGTGTAGTGAGACCCTGTAGACCCTGTACTAAATACATTTTAAAAAGTATAAATATACTAAGAAAATTATACCAACATGCATGAACTAATATTTAATTGCAAAATATAAAATATAAATGGTTCAAAGGAGAAAGTTTCTATGATTGTAATTTTCT